GAAAACAGAAAGAAAAGAGAAAAAGATTTTTGAAGAAATTTTTACAAGTACCATGGCGTACTTTTATAGGTACGTATTGCTTTCTAAAAAGAATTAAAAAAAAGAAAAACAGGGAACGTGTTGGGCTTGCCCAACACGCTCCCTTGCCCACATTACAGGCGCCACAGTGGAGGGGCCGGTCAAGGCCTCGAGGAACACCTTTGTAAACTAGAAAACCAAAGGATGAATCCTCGTTTACGACCAATCAAATATGGAGGATGAAATAACCTTCGCAGTATCGTCTTACAATGTTTCCGGGGGAAGGACGGACCTCCGGAAAGCGGTCTACGTGCGATTCTCTAGCCACCCCCGTGGATTAGATCATCACACCCCGCACTGGCCGACGACTGTGGCTTGGGTTATTAAGAACTCAATACCAACGTGCCTTCTTAAGAGATCTACGACATGACAACAAAGCAGCTCAGAACTCTCCGGGGGTAGGGGCACGCTAGATCGTCCGTGCCCCGAGAGAACCTTACTACCCTGTTTCAGCTTTCAATCTCCGCATGTTTGATATTTGTTCTTGTCTCACTTGATTGGTCCAGTATTATGGCAGGGACCAGCTGACCTCTTGTGGTGACAGCCCGCGATCGAGGGCATGGTTTTGGATCCATTTGTTTGCCTCTTTCTTTGCTTATGTATGGTGCATGATTTGTGCTAAAAGTTTTACATTCATTTATTTATATTTATTTATTTATTTATTTATTTGTTTGATTATTTGACTACTTTCTCAATAATTTCTGACTGACTACCGTTTCTGCCATGATACTTGGTGTCATTTGTAAATGGTTGAAAAATATGTTTGCAATTGCATTGCCATTCTTTCTTATCGCATTCTCTCCTCAAGTACATTTTTTCCCACACACACACACACCTGTAAAGGACTCCACATCAAGACGGAGCCTTGATTATGGACATATAGGAGGTAGTGGTAGTGGTGGCTCTTAGCCTCTGTCCCGTTATAATAAGGGCAGAGTTACCAGGTATACCCACGAGGAGGGGTCCACCTCTATACCCTGTCTTCTGAAGCTATATGAATGGTAAAATTCACTGTCATTCAAACTTGCTCTGAGAAAGGTGATTTTGGAGGTGGGGATAATACCGAGTTTGGCCAGGGCTACTTCTATTTCAATGTTTGTTATAAAAGGATGAACGTTGGAGATTACAATCCTCTTGTTCTTAGAAATTAATGGTCTGATGGTTAATAGCTTATTATCAATGACTATTTGCTTGTGTTTATTTACCAGTTCTTCTGCCTGTTCTTTTGCTGCGAGGTAGATACATTCTCCCGTTCGAGATTTTGGAGATGAATCTGACGGATTTTTGACCAGTTTTAGAGCCAACGGCTCTTGCATACTCTACTATGTGTGCTGCATAATTTAGCACTCGAAAATCACAGTTTATTTTCGAATCCTGATGGAATTCAAAATATTTAAGATTTTCACACTAATGATACTAGTGATGATGATACAAATGATGAAAATAATAAGAATGGTAATACCAGAATTGGTGCATATAAACGGAATCTTATTGCACAATCATTAGAAGATCCAGTTCATGAATTTAGAATGTCGTCATATTGATATAGCAATTATATTTTCATATATTTTTATTATGAAATTACGTTTTTGTGAATTCAAAGTGTATAATAAAAGATAAAACAGTATTAAGAAATACGAAAAATTCTTCTTATTTATCAAAAATTATCACACTTACAAGTTTTTATAATTTAAGTAATATGGCTATGATGTTTCAGATTTCCAGAATCCTAAATCATTTCGATAATGTGTGTTAGCTACAGTGATAAGTATTAATAATATGATAAACATTTGAATGTTAACATTAAAGAAAAGTAACTGTTTTCTTATTGTAATGAGTAATACGAATATTAATCTAAAAGAAAACTAAAATATAGTACAATATCTTTAGACAATGCTATGAAAGTTCTTATGAATTGTCTAATTGACATATACCGTTTTTTAACCAAGAAAAAACGGTTAAATTTCAGTTCGATTATTGAACCGGAATTTAACTGGTTTTTTTCAGTTCATAGAAACCGCGAGGGAAAGTGGATATTGGCAAGTTGAAGTTGCTCCTGAAGATCGTGAGAAAACAGCTTTTTTTATTAGAAGTGAACTTTGGCAAGTTCTTCCTTTCGATTTATGTAATGCTCCTGCCACCTTTATGAAACTTATGAATATAGTTCCACAAGGTTTCCTCGGCAAAATTTGTTCAGTTTATTTAGATAATATAATTATCTTCAGTAAGAGTCCTGAAGAACATTTTATTCATCTTAAAAATGTTTTCGAAAGGCTTTTATAGCACTGCGTATCCTAAATTCGTGATTAGGGCTCGCTTAACTATTGACCTAAATAAACAATTATGAAGCAAGTAGAGAGGAATTCTTCTAGGCCCCGGGCTCGTATTTAGGATCAATCCATACATTTCTTCTCTAATAATTTGACTTTCACCCCCAAAAAAAACGAAAAAATATAATTAAAAACATTCAAAATCCCGAAAAAATAACACATTATAAAATAATTAATGATTAAAATTACATGTTTTTGTCAGTTATAATTCAGTCTGAAGTATGCTAAAACCTCAATTAATGATTCTCAAATGTTTTTTATTTACGTCTTTGCTCAATCGTAAACAATATTCTGGCGTAAAATATTTCCTGAAAGTTATTTAGTTTAGAAAGCATCTTATTCCGTAATGAATATCGACAGTGATTACAGTGATTGAGATGACGATTATAATGATTTCGTTCCTGACAAAATAAAAGAAAAAGCGAAAAATATAGTTTTACAATCAATGCCAACCAAATTTTGATAAATATACGTGGCAACTTATAATGTTTTTGAATCATGGCGAAAAGAAAATGTCAAATCAAATTCTTTTGATGAAGATGTATTCGTAGTCTACTTTGATAATCTTTCTCAAAGATATGCCCCTCCCAGTTTATGGGCTTTTCATTCGATGTTAAAAACTACTATGGCTTAGTTTACACCCAGCGTTCCGATCCCGTTTCATTCCGGAATGGAGTGAATCGAGTCACCGTTTATACTTGAATTACTCCGTTCGGAATGGAATGGAGATTGAAGTAAAGAAACAGGATAACCAACTTTGTAAATTTATACTTCAAAACTCAAAGTATATACCCATAACCTACAATTAGTTAAATTACATGTGACTTAAAGTAATTCATGGATTTGAAAGAAACTTTTATTATATATTTATTGAATATTAAGTGGATTTTATCTTACATAAATATATTGCTGATACATGCTAATAATACATTTATTCAGAACGTCCTTCAAATTCAAGAGACTACAATAAGAAGCATCTGTAATATTTTAAGCTTAAAAAGAAGCTTCAATCGTACACCTAGACGGTTATGGATGAAAAATAGAAATGCATTTTGGTGGGAAGTGACTGTTAAAAGACATTTTGATGATAACGATTGGATTGAAACGTTCAGAATGCGAAAATCAACGTTTTATTATATTTGTGAGGAATTACGTCCAATGCTTGAGCCGTCTCGACCTATTATGAAACCTCCAAGAAAACCTCTGAGTGTTGATAAAAAAGTTGGTGTTGTTTTATACTACTTAGCTAGCTGTTGTGAATATCGGGTAGTCGCTAATCTTTTTGGTATTCATAAATCCAATGTTTTGAAGTGTATGCATGAAGTGGTTGGGGCAATAAATACTATTCTTCTGCCAAAATATATTGTTATGCCAGATGAAACCGAGTGTTCTATTATATCATCAATGTATGGAGATTTAATTCATATACCTCAAGTAATTGGTGCAATTGATGGTACCCATATTCCTATATTACCACCAACTGAAGGCTACAGAGATTACGTAAATAGGAAAGGTTGGCCATCAATAGTACTCCAAGGTTTAGTCGATGTGACACTGAGGTACTTAAAAATGAATTTTTTTGTATAATTGTAATTTAACTTGGATAATTTTAATTTGAGTGTTTTTTTTTTGCTAGGTTTAGAAATATAAATTGTCAATCTCCAGAATGTTCATATGATGCAGCAGTATTTCGAGAGTCCCTGTTATATAGAAATGCAGATAATTTAATTCCAAAGGTAGTTAATAAACTAAAAAAGATTTATCTATACTAATAAACGATAACTATACATTTGTTCATAAATTTTCTCATTTTGTAGAATGTAAAACGAGTGAAAGAAGTAAATGTTCCATATTTCATAATGGGTGACGGAGCTTATCCTCTTCTGCCATGGTTGATGAAAGCTTATACAAATTCAGAGCTAACAGCTCAAGAAGAATTATTCAATAACTATTTTAATAAAGGAAGAGTACATATTGAGATGGCATTCGGACGCTTAAAAGCGCGATGGCGAACATTATTAAAACGTACAGAGTTAGATTATCAATTTGTTCCAGACGTAGTTGCTGCTTGCTGTACACTCTATAATATTTTAGAAACTAAAAAAGATCCATTTTTGATAAATTGGGATAGTTATGTAAAAGAAATTGAACGTATATTTCCTCAACCACAAAGGCAATTGGCACGAACATATGATGATCTTAATGCAAGAAGAATTCGAGATGCATTATGCGATTATCTTACAGAAATCCTCCGAAATTAAAAATTGCTCAAGTAACATAAAAACTGAAATATTGTGTCCATCCATGTAATACATGTTGATACACATTGAACAAATTACTAGTTTTATAGGAAGTTGTATTAAATCAAAATTAAATAAATATTTTAATACAAATTTTATTTATTTTGCGTTTTATTTGTTATTGCGTATATTTATTATTACATTTTATTAACCTTGCGTTACAAAACTATATCAATTATGGAAAAAAGTAAAATAATATATTTTTTCATGAATTAAAAATATGTGTTTCAATATTCTTTAACATTTTTTATAAACATAAATTATTTGTTGTTGATATTTTATGGAGAAAATGTAGATTCGTCATTATAATCGGATGTTAATGATGGCTGCAAAGTTGAGGTAGTATGAGGAGTTAAAGATATTGCTGGAACTGGTAATGAAGATCTACGAGCTTGCTCAATTATATTAGCAGGAATTCTTACGAACTGAGGTCGTTGATGATTTTGTGTTATTATTCTAGGTTGGCTAGTTAATTGCATTGAATTCCATATTGGAAAATTTTGTTGAACTGAATGAGTTTGGTTAGTATTTAAATGTTGCAACAGTAACTGAGTTTGCTCTTGTAGCATTTCCTTTTTTTTTCCATTATTTCTAGTACTAATTTATTATTGCTATCTACTGCCATTTGTAGCTGTTCTTTGTTGGCATTTATTAGACGATCGATTGCCTTATCAAATATTTGACCAAATGATTGTTTTTTTTTTGGCACTACAGATCGTTTCGCATCGCTGATTATTTTTTTTAAATTGTTTTTTTCAATTTTTTCTGTATCAGTTTCATTTTTTTTATCAAAATTGTTATTATTATCAGATACATTGCTATTAGCCACAATATTTTCAATTGCACAGCAATTTATATTGCTTTCTATGATATCAGTCTTATCTTCAATAGTAATACTTTGAAGACTAGATAGTTTTATTGTGTTTGATAATAATCCAACATCTTTTGACGAACTGGGAACTGCATCATCTAATGAAACAGAAATGTCATCAGACATCTCAATATCTGGAGAAGTTAATGACATGACTGCTTGATTTTTCTGATTTTGTACTATACTTGCAGAGTCTACTCCACATTGAACACTGACTGGTCTGTGTCCAAATATTTCGTGCAATTTATTGTAATATGGACACTTTACTGAAGTACCAGCACCGCTTTGTGAAAGTGCACGACGAGTAGCATTGTAACTTTCTGTAATTTTATTAAATTTTCATAAGAAAACAATTGTGCAGTTAGCATTAAAAAGAAGCCACCAAGAAGGTGATTTATATTATTTTATATGACAAATACACGAACTAAATGTAATTAATACTTACGTTTCAAACTTTTATATTTATTTTTAATTTGTTTAGCAGGTCGTACTACACCCCGATAATTCAATTTTTTTTCAAAAGACTTAAAAACGTCGTCAACTCGACTTTGTTTGGAATCCATAAGATCTGCTATTTGCTCTTCTTTAAATAATTCTAACAACTTATCTACTTCATTTGGCAACCAAATATCTCTACTTTTACTCATTATATATTTGATATATTGTACTTATTGTTAATAATCAATAAACATTACAAGTAATTGTTTAAAAATAAACTTGAAAAAACATAACCTTACAAATGCTCTATACTAATCTAACTTATGCTACATTACTGATTGGTAATACTGAATTCATTCCTGAATAACGCGTTTACATCAGCTTATTCCGGTCCTAAATCATTCCATTCCATCTAAAAATAGAGGAATGAAATGAAATGATTCCGGTCGTGATTATACCCGTTTACATTAGACAAATCTTAGTTCATTCCGGAATAAAACGGGATCAGAACGCTGGGTGTAAACTAAGCCTATCAAAGCATTTAATAATGTTGATATTCGTAATTACAGAAAAGTAACGCTTTTTTTTAAGAAAAAAATGTCCAAGTACGTTGCTGAAAAATCTGAAGTTTTTACAATAGAAAATATTGAAAAATTTCTGAATGAAGCCCCTGACAATAAATATCTTGCCACAAAGGTAATTCAATATTTATCGAAATTTTCAGTACGATAATTGTTGTATAGTCTCAACATTCGTTTATTTTATTTTAACTGTTCAACTGTCTTAGGTTTGTTTAATATTTGGAATTTCTGGTGCTTTAAGAAGAAGTGAATTTATGAACCGAAACTGGAAGATGTCAAAGAAATTGATGAGAACACTTTATTTATTGAAGTTCCAATAACAAAAAATAATCAGCCAAGATCATTTACCGTTGTTGAAAAAATCTCAACTTGTGAATTAACCTAAAGCGTTTAAGGATAGAGATGATTGTGCCGGAACAGAGCAAACGGAAGTCAGCTTTTATAAAAAATAAATTATCTTTCTTTTAAGCACTAACAGGTACACTAAATACACTGACAACTTTGTGTTATTACTAGGAAGACTGAATGTCGCTCAAAATCACTGAATGTCTATTTTAATTATGCTGAATCTGAATTGAATGTCCAAAATATACTCAACTTGGTGTGTTCGGTATTATTGACCTCCCACACGAGCTCAGCACTCTTCTCAAGTTGAGCAAGAATGTGATTGTGCACGTGGCGTTAGCCTATCAATGCAATGCAAAGTGAATCTTGATGAAATGTCTTGAAATATTTCTTGATTCTAGTTTTAGAATGAAGCTTGAATGGCTCTGATAATTTACAATAGCACTAGTACTGATGATTGACTCAAACTTGTAAGATTTGTTAAGAATGAATAGGAATGGCGTGTAACCGTGAACGAGAACAGTGAAAGAATGGCGACAGGAACTTCATTAGTCAAAAGGGACACTGAAAATTAGTCAAATGATTGACTAAATTAAGAATTATTGATTATTTGGTCGATTGGTTATCAATCCAGTCCCAAGATGGCCGCCAAAGTTCCTGTCAGTTGGCAAATTCAAACTGGGAATTAATTAATTCTCAACAACCGTTGATAGTATATATTATGACTACGCAAAAGATTATATGGCTGCAAGGCCCCAAACATGTAAAATAGATAAATTTTTTCTGAATTATCAAAATGGTCACTGTACTTGTCAATTCATAGGAATTAACAAGTTTGGTTCAATGCCTAAAAAAATTGCTGAATTTTCAAAATTAGAAAATACAAATAAATACACTGGACATAGTTTTCGTCGAACATCTGCCATATTGTTGGCTGATGCTAGAGGTAATATGACAGTGATGAAAAGACATGGTGGTTGGAAGTCATCAACAGTAGTTGAAGGTTATATTGCCGATTCCTTTAACAACAAAAAACTCACTCATTCTATGAACACCGATGGAATTGTTTCAAAAAAAAAAAAACAAATACTGTTGGAACCACTCGTCCATCTACTAAACCATCTCCTGTAATTACAAACGTTACTATTTTGAATAAATCAACCGATTTAGATGTTTCAACGAAAAAATATTTCACCAAAATTTCAAATGTTGTACCAGTATTAAATGAAAAATTAATTAAAACAGCAGTCTCAATGTCCAAACCTGAAGATAATGATTCATCGAACTTTGACAAACCTTGTTCATCAGCATCGAATGAAGTTAAAGTTAGTACATCAGTCTTTCAAAAAAAATTTTAATCTACCTTGCAAGAAAATACTGTTGCTACTGAGAAAAATTCAACATCTAAATTTGACCATTTTGAAACTACTGATTCATTTATCTGTTCTACAGTATTCTATGATCCAAAGTTAGGTTTGTGCGTGAAAAAATTTAAAGAGTCTCAATGTATGGTCTTCCAAAACTGCCATTTCACTATTCAAGTTCAATCAAAAGAAAAATGAATATTTGTTAAGATTTTACATTTTATGATTTAAATAATAAATAGAAAGTAGGAATTCCAATTTTTAAACTCATTAAGAAAATAAAATAATTAATTAATATGAAGTTGTGTAATTAATTTTGATGTATCGATTGTTTCAAGTGAATTGATTTTTTGTTAAACATATTTTCCCAACCTGTAATGTATTATGGCGATGGATCGACTTTCAAAAATTGCACCCATTCACCTATGTCCAGTTAATTAATATGAATTAATTTGTATTCATAGTTCGAAATATTTGTTTTCATTTTATAGAGCTTATGGTTTGTTTTTTAGGCTTCGCCCCCCGGACCTCGATTTCCTGCTTGAATATATCGCCCCATTTGTAATAAAAAATAGTATGTCCAACAATTAATACAAATAAATAAATAAATTAAATTAATTAATAATCGCTCATTTAAGCCACTCGTATCTTAATGTACTATTACAATCAGGACTTAAAATTCATGCTAAGAAATGTATATTTTTCCAAAGAGAGGTTGTCTTTTTAGGTTATATTGTTTCTAGTGAAGGTTTAAAAAGTTGTCCTGAAAAGATTTCTGCCATTATTCATTGGCCTATCTCAAAAAATAAAAGTAAACTTAAGAGTTTGCTTGGTCTTTGCTCGTATTATAGGAAATTGATCAAAAATTTTGCTACTATTGCAAAACCTTTATATCTTATTAGTCAGGAAAAAAAAGATTTTATTCAGGATATAAAGCTCTTGAAACTTTCCAAAAATTGAAACAAATTTTAACTACTGCACCTATTTTAGGTTATCCTGATCCTAATTTTCCATTTATTCTTGACACTGATGCTTCTAATGTTGGTATTGGAGTCGTTCTATCTCAGAAAATTTCAATCAAGAAAAATGGTGGAATTATATATCAAGAAAAGGTTATTGCGTATTTTAGTAAGACTTTAAATAGTCGTAAACGAAATTATTATGTTACTAGAAAAGAATTGTTAGCTGTTGTTATTTCGGTTGAACATTTTCATCATTTTTTTCTCGGTAAGCGATTCACAATTAGATCTGATCATACTTCTCTTAGCTGGTAACTTTCTTTCAAAAATCCTAAAGATCGAGTTGCTCGTTGGTTAGAAATTTTGTTTCAATACGATTTTGAAGTTCAGCATAAACCTGGTCAAAGTCATGGTAATGCTAATGCTCCATCTCCACGTCCATGTGATTGCAAGAAATGTTTGAAAATTTATGCTAATAAAGAATGTTCTTTCAATGAAAATATTTTCCGTACTATCTGTGAAATTAATAATAATTCCGATTGGATGGAATTTAGAATGATGATAGTATTTTGAATTTAATAATAAAATTCAAAAAGGAAAATAAAATCCCTGAATTTATGATGTTTCTCATTTAGATTCGACTTTTTAACTTTATATACTTAATTGGAATTCTTCGTAATTAAAAGATGGAGCTCCTAATCTTTTTTATATTATTTTTTAGGTTGTTGTTCCTCGAGCCAAAGTCAATGAAATATTTTCTGAGGCTCATAATTCTCCTTCCGGTGGATGTTTGGTATAAATAAGACTATTTCTAAAATTCGTCAAAAATTCTTCTGGTCTACTCTCAAACAAGATGTTGATATTTGGTATAAAAAGTGTAAAGTTTGGTTTGCTAAAAAGGGTCCTCATAAAAAATCTTGTGGTCAACTTCAAATTTATAATGTTGGTTCTTCTTTTGAAAGGGTTGCCATTGATACTCTTGGTCCTCTTACAAAAACTTCTTCTGGAAATAAATTCTTTTTAGTTGTTACTGATTATTTTACTAGATGGCCTGAAGCAATTCTTCTTTCTAATTATCAGGCTTATACTATTGTTGAAGCTTTAGTTTCTCAAATATTTTGTAGATACGGTGTCCCTTCAGAAATTTATTCCGATTAAGGTAGAGAGTTTAAATCAGAAATCTTCCAAGAGGTGATGAATCTTTTTAGAATTAAAAAGACTAGAAATACACCTCTTCATCCTCAATCTAATGGTTTGGTTGAAAGGTTACATAGAACTATTCTTCAATAATTATCAAAATTTATTAATAAAAATCAAAGAGATTGGGATTGTTGGATTTCTCTATTTTTGTTAGCTTATCGTTCTTCTAGACATGAGACTACAGAATTTTCTACATCATTATTAATGTTAGGTCGTAAATTAAGGTTACTTTGAGATTTTCTTCGTGGAATTTCTCCTTCAGAAAATATTACAACTCACTCATGATTATGTGCAACGTAATTCAGAAATTAAATCGGGAAAACTTAAATCTAATTATGATTTAAAATCTAATATTTTTGTCTTTTGACGTAGGTCAAAAGGATTGGTTTGATTTTCCTAAAAAAGTTGAAGGGAAATGCCCTAAACTTCAATCAGATTGGAAAGGTCCATATATTATTGAAAACAAATCAAATGATGTTGTTTTTAGAACTTGGAAAATTCCGAATTGTCGTTTAAAAGTGGTTCATATGAATAGACTCGCTCCTTATGATGTTGATGATTGATTGTTGACTCTTTTTGAATTCCTAATTTCTGTTGAATTCAGGATTTTTGTAACTTCCAGTCTGAGAACGTTGGCCCTTATTGATCATTTGATTTAAATTCACAATGTCTGTACTGGAGCGTTCTCGTGGATATACTATAGGATACACACGGTTCGAGCGTTTGTGTTGTTAGCCTTTTTTTCATTAACGGCCAAAATTAAGTTAAGTTGGGCACTAAGTGTCCATGGTATTCTATAAAGTTCTAATAGTTGGTTTAAACTATGAGAACTTATGTTTTTGGAAATTCCTTGCGAGGTGGATCATTTGTGATTA